AAGCTGGCAGGAGAGTGGTTAGGGGGTAAACAGGGTGGCAGGCAGAAGTGGTTAGAGGCAATCAGGCAGGCAGGCAGGCAAGCAGTTGGGAGCCAGCAGTCCTGTATTCTGAGAGGGCCTAAATAGGCAGTCAGACATCCCCCAAGGGGTCCCAGATTGGAGAAGGTGCTGGCTGGGCTGAGGAACCCACTCCCCTGTGCACAAATTTCATGCACCGGGCCTCTAGTTTTAATTATAATGTGTCTTGGAATGTGCCACTTTGGGTTCATCTTGTTTGGGACTCTATACTTCCTGGATTTGTAGCATCTATTTTTTTCACCAGGTTAGAGTTTTCCATTATTTTTTTCAAGTAGTTTTTCAATTCTTTGTTCTCTTCTCCTTCCAGCATTCCCAAGTTGCAAATGTTGGTACACCTGAAGTTTTCCCTGAGGTTCCTTGCACTATGTTCATTTTCTTGGATTCTTTTTTGTTTTTGGTGTTCTGATTGGGTGTTTTCTGCTTCCAAACAGCTGATTTGATCCTCTGCATCATCTACTCTACTTTTGCAATAGTTACATTTAATGTTTTTCTAAGGATGGATTATCTGGTAGATTTCTATTTATATTACATCATGATGTTAATCTAGTATATTTAACATGAATTTTTTGTGCAAAAATTTGAGGTTATAATTTAATACTACATCAATCTGCCATTTGAAAATCTCAACTAAAGACCACTCTCATCAACTAAAACCAGAATTAAAGGTGATCCAAGTGTTCTTAATTTAGAGGTAAAATAAAAGACAACTATCAACCATCGTGATAATCTGTCAATTATAGTTGTTTTGAGATACTTGGTTGGGCAGAAGCAGAGGAAGTCAAGGATTTACACATGTGAGCTGAAGAACTAAAATCTATGGCCCCAATTGATTTAACTAAGCCTGTTTCTTTCTCAAAAGGATGCAAAATATGAGGGATTACAAACACAAAGTTTATGCCTCACAACCCAAAGACAATCTAGGAAATCTGAGTAGGAAATGTCTCAGGGTTAAATTAAAATGCAAGCCCTGATTTAAAGATAAACAATACCACATTTCCATAAAAAGAGGATAAATAACAGCTTAAAGTTAAGTGTGCTCTCCTCTCCCTCCCCTTTCTTATTACCACATCAACCAAAAGAGGAAAAACATCTGCAACAAGATCTCAGCACTCATTCCAGACACACTGCAAATGAAATTCATATTCTACCACAACTGCCCCCAATTTCCAACTTTCACTGGACATTATATTAGCTTGGAGGGAAAGGAATGAAAGACATATTCATTCTTGTCAAAAGTAAAAATGGCAGGAAGGTAATTCAAAGAAATATTAAAGAATATCTAATCATCTAACCTAAAGATTATTAGGAAAATGTATCTTACATACTTCTTTCAAAGGCATCTTTATTCGACAATGAATATTTATGAATACCAACTATTTGCTAGGCACTGATCTAGTTGCTAGGGACTATGGAAACTCAGAAGGCGCCACCCCCAATGTGCCTCAGTCGTATGTAGATTATTTTGAGCTAAAGGCAACTGAGACCATGAGGGCTCCAGAGAAATGACTGTCCCCTCTCCCCGTCCTTAATTATCTAGAATTTAAATTAGGAGCCTGGCCCATGATAAGAGTTATCATCAGAAATGTCTTTTTATCAATCTACATGGCAAGACAAACTATTAATCACTGAACAAGGGCACTCTCTGCAGTGACCTTCTGAAGCCCCAGGGTACATGAACTCATCCCTAGCTCAGAATGTCATATATACCCACCAATGTTCCCTTTCTGTCTCTGAACCTCTCCTGAATATGGGTCTCTGACTCTCTCATGTACATGGAATCCCAATACATTTGTGTGTATTAAATGTGGTCGTTTTCTCTTGGTAATCTGTCTCATGTCTATCTGATTATTAGGCCAGCCAGAAGAACCTTGTGGGTAGAGGAAAGTTTCTTCTTCCCCCACGGGACACATCAAGGAATAAAGCAAACAAAAATTCCTGCCCTCACAGCTTTTTATGGAGCTTACATTCTAGCAACGGGGAGATTATATAATATGCTAGAAGATGATAAGGGGTATTTTTTAAGAAAACACAGCAAGGCAAAAGCAAATGGCAGTGTGCTATTGATAGTAAGGTGTGATATTAGCAATTTAAATTGTCTCATGGAGAAGCTATTATTTCAGCAGTCTTGTCAGAGTTGAGAGTGTGAGCCATGCAAATATATAGGAACAGACTATTCCTAGTCAATAATATTGTGGTAACTATGTATGTATGGTGCCAGTTAGGGTACTGAAAAATATTGTCTAACCACTAAGCTGTACACCTGAAACCAATACAAAATACAATTAATAGGAAAAACATATTCCAGACAGAAGAAACAATAAATGAAAAGGCTCTTAAGCAAAGCGTGCCTGACCTACTAAGAACAGCAAGGAATACAGTGTAACTATAGGGAAGAGCACAAGGGGAAGGCGCTGGGGGATGGGGGGGGGCACAACTTTGGCTTTTACTCAGAGAAATATGAGCAAGAACCAGAAACTTTTAAACAGAGGTATGACTTGACCTGACTTATGTTTCGACAGGACCACTTAGCGGCTGTGTTGAGAATAGACTATTATCCAAATGACAAATAATAAAAGTTTGGAAAAATGTCCTTTAAAGTAAATACTATTGCTTTCTCCCAAAGGTGTCTAAAACTGAAGATTTGATAGATAGGTACCTTTTCCCAGAACAAATAAACTAAGCACAGGAAACTAACCCATTCAACAAATGGATATTCTACAAAATACTCTGCTGGGGGTTGGAGGTCTGAGAGTATTTCCTAGGCTTCTAATGACAGAATTTAACTGTAGTTGGCCACCAAATTCTTGTGGAATAGTGTCATAGGAAAATATTCTAATGACAGGTAAACCCACAAATTCACTATGTGATTTATAATTGTCAATTAGCCAACCTAATGTTATATATCCACTGTTACTGATTTCAAGAGTTTATAGCACAATAATTTTATAATGCCTAGTAAAACTATGATATTTAATATTTTAAAATATGACTGATTAATTTGTTATAAATTCTAGCTCTAGAAATCATATCCCTCTCTCTATATATACCCCCTAGAGAACTAGCCTTTCCCCCAGATAATCAGCAACCTCCGAAGCAGACGAAGATAGTAGTCCAGACCTGACTAATGGTTACAAGGCCTGGACCTCTGGCTGACTAAAGATAACATCTTGACCTAAGCTATGTTTCAGTTGCTGAGCCCTAAAGCGGAATGACCCCTTGGCTACTTTTCTATGAGACTAAACAAAGGGAGGTCAGAAAAGACGTCAGAGCTGTCCTCACGGCCTAAAGAAATGATTACCCTTACCTCACTTCTGACCAATCAGCTCCCAGCATGATCCCAAACCCCCAACCCATAGTATCTTGTGATTTAGCCCTATATTATCTGTAACATATATGCCATCACAGAGTGGTTTTATTTAGAGCTAAAGTGCCCTGTCTCCGTATTGGAGAGACAATTATTATTAAATTATTTTCTCTTTCTATAATTTAAACTCCTGCTTGTGTATTTCTTTGGGCCAGTGAACACAGGCAGGCAGACCCAAAGAAAATCAATGGGGTTCTAGTAACAAATATCCTATTTAAATAAAAATACTAGAATATATAGTTCCAGAGACATGGAAGGATGGGACAGACTGGCTAATCTCAGATGGAAGGAAGGGAGGTGGGAAGAGATTGACCAAAGAATTTATATGCATATATGCATAACCCATGAACACAGACAACAGTGCGGTGAAGGCCTGAGGGGAGGAGCAGTATGGAGGGGGGTCAATGGGGGGGAAAGGGGGGAACATCTGTAATACATTCAACAATAAAGATATTTTTTTAAAAAAATCTAAAAATCCTAAATATTTTTGAAATTTCACTTATCCCAAAACCATCTCATGTAATATAATTTAGAACACAGGTCCAAAAACTGAATGAAAAAAAGAAAAAGAAACAATAGAGGCACAGAATCTAAAAGTATAACATATATAAAATCTTTAAAAATATTAAGTGTCTAGGTCAAAGAAAGTAATGGTTCTCTTTTATTATAAATTTGTTAGATCAACATCTGAACTCTTCTGTTCATTGGTGAGTATAACATTAAAAGAGACCTTAATAAAAAAGAACATTTTCGAGACAGAAATAGTTAAAAATAAAAAGTAATAAAGAACAGAAATATGAAAAGGAATAAAAGTAATAACGATGTTTAAGCTACAGACAAACAGGCCTTAGAGTTTGGAAAAATGGAGAGTAGACACACAAAAGATTACAAACATCAGAAGGGAAGCAAAGTTTTCATGATCTATACTTCACAAGGTAGTCCGAGGACCAGTAGATAAAAATGATAGAGGCATGGATTTTAGTGCAAAATAAAAAGGATAATAAATAGTTTTGCAAAAAAGAATCGGGTCTCTCTCTCTCTCTCTCTCTCTCTCTCTCTCTCACACACACACACAAACACACACACCACCACACACACCCTCTCACACACACACACACACACACACACACACACACACACACACACACTTTCCACCATTGAACATATCCAGCTAGAGTGGTAAGGATTTCCTGCATTAGGAAGTGCTTATATCTGATCATTTATAAGATCTCTTTCAACCTTAAAATTATCTGGTTCTAAAACATAGCAGGACTAAGTTCAAGGAAGTTTCCTTGTGCAATGATTGCACATGCAGGTATTCCTTAATGCATAAAAGCAAGACATTCCTGAAATTTCTGTTCATTACATTCTATTAGCATATTAATTTCCCATTATAAAATTGTAAATAACTTCCTCAAGAAAATTTTTGGCCATCCACACATAATAAAGTCGCACTTAAGAATATTTTTTAAATATGCATGTATTAGGAAAGCATTACTCAAGATAAAACAAGATAAAAATAAACGGCATGGTATATTGTATAAAGTGGAAGTAATATAAATGTGAAAATTAGCTCAATGCCGTGAAGATCTGACTATGTTCCTCTCAGAGTTCAATGTCCTTTAAATTATTCCTATATTTCTACAATCAATTGTATATAATGGCCTCTTGGTCCCAAAAGCTGTTATAAAATCACATGAGTTTTGTTCACTCTACTGTTGATCCCCTTTCTTTGAAGCTCTCATAGCAGCCCTGTAAAACCTTAAAAAAAAAACCTGTATTTTTTACTGGTAAGACCTTTACTTTCCACAAAATGGGCAGACAAATGCTTATTCATTTGAAAAGCATTTCTTAAGAGAAGTAAGCTTCTGCTGAGGACTGAGGAACCAATCAGGCTTTTATTGGCTGTGAGCTAAAATCCGATAAGCAATAGTATTTAGAAATTTTCCTAAAGTGAACTTAGGCATATATCAAGTTATTCTTTTCTTAAAAATTAGAGTGAAATTACATAAAGAAATGAGTAATATTCCAAAATATAAAGGCATGTATTTGTGTATATTATATACAATCAATACAACTGTTTTACTCACCAATTCCATTAAGTCTTTTAACTTCCCAATTTCTTCTGGAATGGATACCAGTTTATTATTACTGATGACCAAAACTTTAAGAGGAAGATCAAATAGGTATTTTGGCAACGTTGATAAAAGATTTCGACTGAAAAGAATAAGAAAGTCTTATTATGAAAAGTATGTCTGAAACCTGACACGTTATGCTGAAAAAGAACAAATCACCTCAAAAGTAAGTAAGAAGCTCTGACTAAATAATAACTATCACTTAATGAAAGCTTAGTTTGTATCAGACTAAAATCTTTATATGCACTATCTCATTTAATCCTCACGTTAACCCCACAAGATAGGTAATTATTAGAGACATTATACACCACCAGTTCTCAAAACCCAAAATCATTCTTCTGAGCTGAAGAATGCCAGAACCTTGCTCTCTACTATAACTTCACTATAATCATTAACTCCATGCCTTTAACAAGGATAAGGCTCCAAGGATGAATTTGCATGTACGACTATGTTTAAATTTATGAAAGAATGAATAGGATTATATCTTTGAAAACATGTAATAAGCCTAACTTATTTCCTTTTTCTATAAGTTTATGGTAGAACAGCCTACTAGCACCTTTATCACAGCTCAAAGTTCATACATTTTTATCTCTGTAGATACACTTAAATACAACAATTAACATTTATTGAGTGTTTACTATGTGCCAGGCCATGTTCAGAACACCTCACATGAATTAACTCAACTAACACTCACAACAATCTACTTTAGAAAGATAAATACTATCATGATGCCTATTTTACAGGTGATGAAACAGTGAAAAAAAGATATTAAACTCCTCAAAGTCATGCAGCTGGTAAGTGGGAAAACCAGCATTCATATCCAGGCTATCTGGCCCTGGGTTCCTTACCCTCAGACTACTGTGGTCACATTCATACACCAATATAGGCTGATCTAAATGATCCCCACTATAGACTGAATATGCTGTGCCCTCTCCTGAAATTAGTGTTGAAACCTAATCTCCAAGGAGATGATATTAGTTGGGGCCTCTGGGAGATGATTAAATGGTTTTAGTAGCCTTATAAAAGAGGCCCCTGAGAGCTCCCTAACCCCTGCTATCATGTGAGGACACAGCTAGATGGCCATCTATGAACCTGGATGCGGGTCCTCACCAGACACTAAATTTGCTGGTGCCTTGATTTTGGATTTCTCAGCCTCCAGAACTGTGAAAAGTTTCTGTTATTTTATAAACTACTCAGTCTATGGTATTGTTATAGCAGCCCGAATGGACTAAGAAAATCCTACCAAACTATATAAAGTGTACCATTACATTTACATACTATACCAAGCATTCATGAGCAATGAGCTATTATTTTTCCTGTTTTTCAAAGTGATATTTATAGACTTGTATGTAACTAACATTTTGTGTATTGTGTACAACAAAAGCCCAGTGTTACCCTAACAGAGGATTTCAAAAACTTTCACCCCATTTTATGCCTGCAGGAGACATCCAGAAACATTAGACTGGCTTTAGACCTGGCAGTAGACTTAAAAAAAAAAAAAAAAAAAAAGACAATGTTACTAGAACAGGAATCCTGGCCAGGCTGCTGGAATGTCAAGTATGCTAGGGGCCTGTCACAACTCTTGACACTTTTAGGATCAAGCAGGATGAAGCACACAAGGATCTTCCTGCATGATTCTACTTAAAAAGGAGGTAGTACACAGGAAGGGGGGAAGCTTAAAAATCATCTTAAAAGTTTCTCAAAGATATTTTCACCAAAATAAAAAATAAAGTACAAAAAATAATGGCATATACACAAACATTCTAATCTCCCTCAGATAAAAAACAAAACAAAACATTTAAAAACTGACTTATTTGCTTCCTTTAATAACCAGGTTCATTGAATTACCACAGTAAGCTTTCTGCAGAATTTATTTCTTTATACATAACTATAGTAAGTCATTAATCTTTACTTTTTTGGCCACATGTTTTAGAGACAGTCAAAGGAAGTCAGTCACTAGAACAAATGTTACTTCAATAGAGGTTGTTCAAAATGTCTGTGACTGTAAACAAAAATCAGAAGTTAACTTTTATAGATCAAAATAAGAAAGAATCAGAGAGATTTAATAAAGTTACAGGCATACCTCGTTCGATTGTGCTTAGAGTTATTGCACCTCCCAGGTGTTGCATTTTCTACAAATGAAGGCAAGACCCTCCACCAGCAAAAAGATACCTACTTTAATATGGTGGTCTGGAACAGAACCCACAATATCTCTGAGGCATGCCTGTATTCTAAGATACACCATAGGTGTTAATATAGAAATGTACTTCAATTTTGGACAAATCACTTTTTATTCCATAAAAGAACAAAATGAAACAAAGACGAACTTTCCTCACTTTCCTCAAACTTCTCCCATGCCAGGTCAAGGAAAGGAGCACCCAAATGACTGACATCTATGGAAATAAATCTCTCTCATGTATTTTAAGGTGTAAAGTAGTTTCGGTTAAAATAGTATGTACAACCAGGTGACACCACTGGGGGAAACATACATAATAATTAATATATCACAACAAGAAAGGAACATTATTATTTTTGTATGTTACTTATATTTACTACTTCCCTATATGGGAGTTTAAACAATTAACTTCGCTAAGGAAGGGAAATAAACTATCCCTTACAACTCAATAAAAAAAAAATAAGAAAACAATTCTAAAATTGTCACAATACAGCAGTTTCCATTCAATGTCACTCATTTAACAGGGCATTCTTATTCTTATTAAATGTTCACTCTGTTATAAATATAGGGTAATAGCTTAAGAATGAGATTTCTACAGCCATATTACTTTATTATAATCTTGGCTATACACACACACACACACACACACACACACACACACACACACGGTGTCTTCCAAAATGTATACATACTTTGAATAATTATTAATTCCAATGGGTTAAATCTGAAAAGAAATATCAATTGGGCTATCCACTGTTTAAGTATCTCACTTGAAAATGAAATGTATTTCATTTTTTATTTATTTTTATTTTAAAAAAAATATTTTTTATTGATTTCAGAGAGGGAGAGAGAGATAGAAACATCAATAATGAGAGAGAACCACTGATCGGCTGCCTCCTGCATGCCACCTACTGGGGATTGAGTCCACAATCCAGGCATGTGCCCTTGACTGGAATTGAACCCAGGACCCTTCAGTCCACAGGCTGATGCTCTATCCACTGTTCCAAATCGGCTAGGGCGAAAATGAAATGTATTTTAAAAAAACACTGCCTTAATAATTATTCAAAGTATGTTTCTACATTTTTTGGCATACACCCTATATAGAACTTTGGGCAAATAGTTAACTTCTCTGTGCTTCAGTTTCCTCATCTGTAAAAATAAAAGTACAGGGATAATAAAAGTACATATCTCAAAATGCTGTTGTGAACATGAGGTAATATGTGTAAAGTATTTGTAACACCGCCCGGCACACAGTAAGCACTTATTCAATATTAACATCAACTGTCATCCACCTCTTAATGTTCCACCATTCCCATCCCTATCTATCCATCCTTGAAGTAGCAATAGAAAGTCACAGGAGTGTGAAAATATCACATCGATTGTTTATTTAACTGAGAATGCATATAAATAAATCGGTATTGTGGTGCTATGATTTCAGTAAAACATTTCTGATGTAAAGCCTTGCTATTCAAAGTGATTTAAGGACCAGCAGGCATGGGCATTACCAAGAGGTTTGTTAGAAATGCAGGTCCCACTGCAGACCTATAAAATCAGAATCCTGTTTTAATCCCCAGGTGATTCCTGTGCACATTAGTTTGAGAAGCATTGCTCTGAAAAATAAGACTAAAGGCCAATACAGTAGTGTGAACATACAAAAAATACAAATAAGATACTACTGAGATAAATATAGGCTACATAGCCAAACCAAACACATTCCTTTGCTACTAAAAGGATTAAAACTATGATAAAAACCAAAATGTATCCCAAAAGTTACTTCCTTACCTAATGTTAAGGTATGTCAACATCTGCAGGTTTTTAATGGCTTCAGGAATGGTTTTAATGCAATTATGGTATAAATTTAATGTTTCAAGAGGTGCAAATAACCAGATATCAGAAGGAATTTCTGCAAAACGATTTCTTGAAAGGTCTGAAAAACAAAAGTAATGTTTTAGTGTCAAACATACACCTTTATCTGTGGTAATACAGAACTATTTTCATATTTGCTGAATCACTTAGAATCCAAGCAATTATTTAATGTATTATAAAACATTATTCACTATAACCTTGAAGGCATCCACAGCCAAATTTACATAAATCTACAACACAACTAAATTTCTTAACATGGAATTCGCAACCCACTGTAATTGGGTTTCTAGTCACTCTCATGGGTATGACCAAAGTCAACAACAGCTTCCATATCAACAACCACTCATCCACCTAAAAACATTTCTCTTCCCTTGGCTTGGAAGATTACACTTCTGGATCACTTCCTATTTTATCTCTGGCTACTTTTTAGTCTCTTGCTAGATTCTCCTCCACTCATATTGTGAATGTTGGTGTTCCTAAGCACTGTGCTATAAGGTACTCTTTCCTTCTTAAGATGCCCGGCTGGCGTGGCTCAGTGGTTGAGCATCGACCTATGAACCAGGAGGTCACGGTTCGATTCTAGTCAGGGCACATGTCTGGGTTGAGGGCTCGATCCCAGTAGGGGGCATACAGGAGGCAGCCAATCAGTGATTCTCTCTAATCATTGATGTTTCTATCTCTCTCTCCTGCTCCCTACCTCTCGGAAATCAATAAAAATATACTTTAAAAAAAGATATACATTCTGGTGGGTGATTTCCTCCAATCTCAGGACTAATGTATATTCATATACTGACAAATTTCAATTTAAAGATATGTCTGAACACCTAAATTCTGATCTTTAGGACTTCCTCTTGATATCTCTCAGGTACTTCAAATTCTACAAACGTCAAATTTGAACTGAAGATTTTGCTCAACAGATCTGTTTCTCTCATTTCAAATAATGTCACCAACATCCTGATGAGTTGCTCAAGCCAGAAACTTGGCATTCATCCTTGATTCTTTCCTCTCCTAAATTATTCCAAGTACACACAAATATACTTCCATTCGTTGAAGTTTTCACAAAAATAAAATCATGAAATTATTATAACCATTACACCTCTATCAAAGGTTTATATGTTAAATGAAATTCTGAAAAATATTTAGGTGATCATGTGACAGGTCAAAAAAAAAAACACCCTAAAGGAGTTTCTCAAAGCACTGTTGACCTTTTCGGCTGTATCACTATTTGTGGTGTGGGGCTACCCTGTGCACTGTAAAATATTTAGCAGCATCTCCAGCATCTACCCACTAGATGCCAGGAGCACCCTCTAGTCCTGGCAGCCAAAAAATGTCCCCTGGGGTGAAAACTCTCCTACACCTGTTGAGAATCACTGCCTAAACAATTGTCACACTAGCTAGCTACCTTATCATGGAAATATACTTTGCTTATACTAGCTTATTATACTTATTTGGTTAAAAACGTAACAAAATTATTTACCTCTGTCAGAAAAAACATCCACACTGTAGCTTAGCTACTGTACCTGATTTAGTTTCTGATCTGCCATCATAAGAACCGCCTCCTACTAATGCTCAACTTTCTCACTCTGAGGGGAGTAGTCCTATTTACTTAGCAAAGTAGTAAATTCTCTACTCAGAACATTAATATACATGTATTAACATTATATATAAATATATAAATATATATATGTGTGTGTGTGTGTGTGTGTGTATACTCACCTAGTGCAAAATTTTATAATTGGCAAAAGAAAACATCAATTGATTATACAATATGAAAATTAATTTGGATCCTTCTTCCTTCCACCATAAGATTCTGAATAACTATATAAAAGGATAGTCCGAATTACAAGGAACAAAAATCTGAACTTGAAACAGAATTTTCTCAGTATCCGGGCTTACCTACTCTAGACACCCAAGCATCATGCAGTTTTATCAAGGAAGAAAAAAATAAGTCATTGCTTTTTTTTATTTTACATTCAAGGTTGTGTCTCTTATTCTTATAACTTCAGAATCCTAGGAGTTAAAAATTACTGCTTACAATTAATCTGAAATTCTAAAAACAAAATTATGCCCAGTTTATTATTCTGTATAAACTCTAGTACTAAGTATCCAAAAATAATACAGTGGAGTAAATAAGAGGTAAGAATCAAGGACGGCACCCACGATTTGGCCTATCACTGGTAAGTAATGTCTACACTAATAAAAGGGAAACATGCAAATTGACCATCCCTCCGCTACACCCATCAGCCAATCAAGGCAAGTATGCAAAATAACCCAACAAAGATGTCGGCGGCCATGGAGCTGGAGCAGCAGGAGGCTTGGGTTGCCCTGGGCGATGGAGGAAGCCAAGCTTCCCACCCGTCCTGGCCACCGCTGAAGGAGTGGCTGAGGGCCTGGGCTCTGCTCAAGGAGGGGCTGGGGGCTTGGGTCACCGGGGGGGCATGGCCAGCCTGAAAACGGAAAACAGTCCTCAGCCCCTCAACTAAAGCTGGACATGCCCCCATGGGGTGAGGGTCCCTGCTGGGGAGCATGGCCAGCCTGCAAACAGCCCTCAGCCCCTCACCCAAGCTGGCCACACCCCCCTGCAGGGACCCTCACCCCATGGGGGTGTGGCTGGCCTTCAATACCACCACAGGCCCCTTGCCCAGACCATCCCACACCCCAAGGGAACCCCCCACCCTGATCTGGGACACCCTTCAGGGCAAACCAGCCGGCCCCCACCTATGCACCAGGCCTCTATACTAATAAAAGGATAATATGCTAATTAGACTGGGAGACATTCCAGGAGACCTTCCGGACGTTCTTCTGGACAAAGCTATGGTGGCGCGGCCAAGGTAGAGGCGAATAAAAGTGTAATATGCTAATTAGACTCAAGGAAGCCACCACAGCAGGGGCCATGGCAGAGGTGGTTAGGGGTGATTAGGCAGGCAGGTGAGCAGTTAGGGATGATTAGGAAGGCAGGCAGAATGGTTTGGGGTGATCAGGCAAGCAGGCAAGCGGTTAGGAGCCAGCAGTTCCGGATTGCAAGAGGGGTGTACAACTGCCGTTTTAGGCCTGATCCCTGTAAACCGGCAGTAGGACATCCTTCAAGGGGTCCCAGATTGGAGAGGGTGCAGGCCAGGCTGAGGGACACCCCCACACCTGTGCATTAATTTCATGCACCGGGCCACTATTTATTTAATGGAAGAGTAGGAAGTGGAACAAGATTTTTGTTGTTGTTATTGCTGTGGAGGGTTTTGTTGGGGGTTTTTTTGAAGCAGAGGTTAGAATCAAGGGTTCAGTTTTAAATGTGTATAAACCTGGTATCTGAAAGAGTTCCAAATGGGGGGTTGTAAAATGGTCAGTTAGTCAAGTTGATTCTGGATATCAGAAGTGAGTTCTAGGATGGCTATATAAAATTGAAAATTGTGGGAATAAGTTAGTACTATAAAATCATAGAAACAGAAGACAGCACCTAACATCAGAGTAACTGAATTAGAAAAGAATTCAATAATGGGCCATTAGGCTAACATTTATAAGCTGAGTAGACAAATCAACAGCAAGTAGAAAAGACTGAAAATAATGGTTAAGATAAAACACAAAAGTGTTCAAAGAAGTAATGGGAGATTAAAGCCCAAATATCAGTATTAATATTGAGTGGCCCAGCAGGTGTGGCTCATTTGGTTGAGAGTCATCCCATGCACTAAGAGGTCGCTGGTTCGATTCCCAGTCAGGGCACATGCCTGGGTTTTGTGCTCGATCCCCAATAGGAGGACATGTAGGAAGCAGCCGATAGATGTTTCTCTCTCTCTCTCTCTCTTCCTCTCTCTCTCCCTCCCTCCCTTCCCTCCTCTCCCTCCTCTCCCTTCCTCTTTCTCTAAAAAAAAAAAAAGCATTTTAAAAATATATCCTCAGGTGAGTATTTAAAAATAAAGTAAAATAATAATAAGAGTGATTTTAATAAAATAATTCAAATAGCCCTGTCCAGTGTGGCTCAGTTGATTGGGCACTGTCTTGTTGCCCAATCAACCGAGCCACATTGATTGGGCAAGTTGCCAGTTTGATTCCCAGCCAGGAGGGCACATGACCAGGTTTTGGGTTGGATCCCCAGTAGGGTGCATGCAGGAGGCAGCAATTGATGTTTCTATCTCACATCTATGTTTCTCTCCCTCTCCCTTCCTCTCTCTCTAAAAGTCAATAAAAAATATATTAAAAATAAATAAATACAATCATTTAAATAATATCAAGGTATTATTTTAATAATTTACATATTATTGTGTGATGCTTTATGTTATTTTGTCTTCAAAAAAGATTAAATTATAAAAATAAAAGTATTATGTGTTCCCTTAGGGAATTTAATTAAATTTACATTCATAAACTATTTTCTAGATGACTAATATATTTATTTAGTAAATACCACTTAAAATTATAATTATTATTCTAATTTAACTGAGTCAAATAAACAAAGCATAATAAAGTCAAAATTAAAATTCAAGCTATTATAAAGCCTCTAATTAAGGGAATCTTAAAGGGTTGTTCAGATTTTGAATCTGTATAAACATTCTTTCTAAGAATTGGGTAAACAGAAGAACAGTGCCAAAAGGAAAATACAACCATGTAAGGAAAGATGGGAAATTATACAAAACACTTTGTATCTTAATTTCTTGAACTACCTCGCACTAGCAGCATCTCCTATTTTCCTTTTATTAAAATAGGGGAAAGCACGAACACAAGTCCCCCACTTCCACAAATTATACAGTTGAGTTTCCCACATTTGGGGAAATTGCAGGGGCCAGCATATCCGGAGTGCAATGGGTAAGCCTTACCCTGGGAAAACCACCTTCATGATCATGGTGTCTCCCCTGCCAGGTATGTATCATCATATTTTCCTTTATTTAGTTTGACAATCTGTTTGAGGCAGCTCTGCCTAACTTTAAATTTTATCCATTATAACTATACATAAAACTCTGATTTAAATTTTTTATCTTATGATGTACAATTAAGGGAGTTTTTATAACATTAAAAATCATTTAGCCCAGCCAGTATGGCTCTGTGGTGGAGTGTCGACCTATGAACCAAGAGGTC